GGTGGGAAGCGAGAAGGGGAACATTCACTCTCGCTCGGCCACTTTTAGTGTATATGTGTATTTATTTAAAAAATAATAACAAGGGGGTGGAAAAAAAAATAGAAAGATAAAACTTTCCACTTCTCTTCTTGCCTAACTCCTGGCCGTGTGTGCCTGCTTTCAGGTCCAGATAGGAAACGAGGGCGCCAGACCTACACCCGCTACCAGACCCTGGAGCTGGAGAAGGAATTCCACTTCAATCGCTATCTGACTCGGCGGCGGAGGATAGAGATCGCCCATGCCCTCTGCCTGACGGAGAGGCAGATCAAAATCTGGTTCCAAAACCGGAGGATGAAGTGGAAGAAGGAGCACAAGGAAGAGAGCTCCAGCACCCCGGCTCCCAACGAGCCCACGTCAGCAGCAGCCTCCGTCGAGAAAGTGGAAGAGGACGAAGAGGAGGAGGACTAAGGAGTCCCACTCGAGGAAACGATCTCTCCGTATGATGATGTATGCACATGACAGTTGGAAAAGCTCCCTTTAAAGAAAAAAAAAAAAGATAAAGACTGGCGCTTTTTATTTAAAAAAAAAAAGAAAAAAAAAATCAGTTCCCTTTAATAATCATATTGCAAGAGAGCGTTTGCAAACATGAAAACGTTTCTTGGGGTGGTTTTCCAGCCTTCTCTCCATTCTCCCGTACTCCCCAAACCTGCCCTGTGCCGAATCTTTCGGTAATCTCTCCTAAGAGCATCCTACAATCATTTCGTTTTTCGTTCACCCGTACCTGGGTGGGTTTGTCCAGGAGACATTTCAGTGGGAGAACTGCTGCTTGCACAGATAGCAAACCGTGACCTTCCGAAGTAACTACCTGACTCGACTGTCCCAACCGTGTGTAAGGGGAAAAGTGCATTAGGCTCACATTAAGAAAAACTACCTAATTTTGAATAAGTAGCTCTGCACTTCTCTTTTTTTCTTTTTTTTTTTTTTAATTATTGTTAGTAAAGTATCATAACTAACAGCTACACTAACAAAAAAGGTTAAACAGCAAGTAAGGGGACAAAAAAAGATGTTCCACAAACCACTACAATCTACAGCAATGATTTGTACTACCTATTTTCCAGACTACCTATATATCTTGCTCCGCCTACCTATCTTCGAAAGTATACTGTATTTTAGTAGTCAAAAGAAGATAACATTACTAATGTGAATCGCATAATGCTTTTAGCAATGTAAGTGTAGTCGTTCGAAAAGCACGCATCAATAGCTTTGGTATAGAATTTGGTACCGAAAAGGCTAAATATATTTAAATTTAAAATAATATATTTATTCCAAAGCAATTATAAATGAAAAGCAAATGCTGCAATATATCTTTGTTCTCGATTCTTTACTATTCCGAGTGACGAAGCAAACACACGCCAATATCGTACAGAGCGGTTTAATATCTTCTGTTGGCTTCTACCTTCGGCTGCCTCTGCTAAAGGCCGCTTTCTTATTCTAGGTTGATCTTAATATAGCGTAAAGTGTTATTTGAAAAGTCAATCTAAATGACCGCGTAACCACCTTTAAAAAAAATACACTGTTTGTCCTGATTATCCGAACATGTTAATATGTAATACCGTGAATTTTCCTACAATAGCAGATACTGTATATTTGAACGATTTTTTTTGTGTCATTTATATTCGTCTTGGAGCTCATTTGTAAGATCATGTCATAAATTGGGAAGTATGTAATTAATTTGGAAACTTTGTAGCATGATGTATTGTTAAGAACTCTGTATAAATCCGTCTTGAAGGTTTGGCAAAAGTTTATTCAAAAATTGTATGTTACAATGTGTTTCGATGTGTTCGTTGTGAACATTTGAATATGCCGTGTAAGTATTGGAAGTGGAAAAAAAAAATAATCTCTGTGAACTCTCTTTGGAAGTGATACCGTGTACAAGTATCTCCCACGATAAATGTGTTTCATGTTACACAGAAAATAAATATGCTTGTTGACAATGAATTATGTTTCTTTATTAGGGAAACAGTTCGAAGGAAGCATCGAAAAATAATTTACACAGACAAATAAAGAAATTAGACCTTATAAATCTCTTTTTTTTTTTTCCCCGTGATCAGAGGGCAAAAAAAAATCCTAGGTGATGAATTGATAGGAATCAGTCAATTTCTCTATCTCGACTTAGTGATTTTTTTTCTTTTCCTCTCCTAGCGCAGTTGATTAATAAAGCGGAAAGCCTGCTTTCTGGGAGGGTTTCCTTCCACCCTGCTCCTGCGTCCTCTTGCAATCGCAATCCCGGTCCAGGCGGCCGGCGATCCAGCCGAAATCGCAGGCAGTGAAAGAATATTTGGTGATGAGCAGAAAGTGCGATATGAAACTTCCAAATGTAAACGATCCGGTCGGGTTACGCGTGGGGTTTATGTGTGTGCGGCTTTCGGGGGGCAGCAGGGTGGTCTTAAACAGGGGAAAAAATAGCCCCGCTTTAGAAAAAATGTATCATTTTTGCCAGGTACCGCGTAACGTCAAAGAGTTCTGATATTTTCAATCTTTTAAAAAAATATATTTAAAAAAAAAAAAAGCTCGCCCGAAAAGCCCCTTTGTTCGGCCGGGTAAATACAGGTAGAACCAGAGCATCGTTTGCGCGAAAGTTCCCTTTTTCTAGTACACTCCGCTCCTGGCTAACGTACTAATTGTAATTTTAATAAAATTAGTACAAACTCCAGGTCTTTAAAAAAAAACTCCAGGGCTGGCTCTGTGGTAAGATGGCGCCTCTCTAAGACCTGCCTCTTCTTAGTGATGAGGAAAAGGCCATAAATCCGTTGTTGTTTATGAAAATTTACAACTTTGCAATACAACTTTATGAGTTGTTCGGTTTTTCCATTGGTCGTTGTCGGTCATGTGGACGGTAACCGTGAACATGAACTTTTTTATAATTTCCCTTGCGAGAATAGAGCCGCATTCTTTTGCTGAGCTCTGTCCTGCTTCGATCTCTCCGGCTTTCAATCCCCATTTCATTTGTTCTTTGTAAGGCAATAGTGAACAGAGTGTGCGGAGGTTCGGCGCAAGCAGCCGCCTAGAACACAGATCCGGGATGGCAATTTCCAGTTCCCCCGCTGGAAGGTGTGGCATATTGGATTCAAAGCACTGGCGTGGCAGATTTTCAACTTGCAACCTGGCTAATTTCCTGCTTCTTCTGGCACCAAAAGGAGGGCGATTCGTCTCCTGTGCAGCCAAAGCGACAGCTGTCAAAGTCGCAGGGGCTCCTGTGAGCCAGAACCTAAAAGGTGAGAAATGCATATGACACTACCGTAAGCAGGGAAACATGGTTTAATACCTTTAAATATTAGACATGTGCAATTAAACCGAATGGAAATGTTGCCGGCCAAAAATAGAGGTGGCTGCAGCTCAGTTAATTTCGCCTTAACCGATGCATGCAAAAATATGGGGGAATAAAATGTCTTTTTTCTGTTATTTAGCAAGGAAACCGTGGATTTTAAATTTTTTTTCACTAAGTTTATTTCTGTTTGCGTTTGCCAGGGGGTTGCCGTGACATTCAGCTTATTTTCCAGGAATTCAGGTTTAAAGCATCAATCCGAGGGGATTTTTTTTTTTCCAGCAGGAGGAAAAAAAAATTTAAAACCTCCAAATGTATATGTGTATATATATATATAATTTTCGCAGCGTTAACTTAAAATTCATTTGCGGCAGCTTAAATCTAGATGTAATTTATTTTTTGCTATTTCAGAAAAAAAAAAAAAAGGCAAAAAACCACTATTCAGGGCGATGTCTCCTGGTTCGCCCAGGAGAAAGGTTGTTTCTAGGCGGGGGAAACAGCGCGAACGTGCCTTTGATTTTCCTTCCGAGCTCCATCGCTGCCTGCCAAACCCCCACGCCTCGCCGTGGGTCGTTCCGCGCCGCGTTCCCGGCTCTTCCCGGCTTCGCAG